TAGTATAATAATTTTCCTATAGTGTACTATGCGAGCTCTACTAATTGCTTAATAGTATACAGTAATTACAGTTAACAGACTATATCACCATGAAAAAAGTAGAGATATAATACGTAAGCTCAGTTTTAAGAATGGTTGCAATTTATTGAAAACAAATTACAGTATTATAATATAAAAAGTAAACGATGTTAGCAGCAGAAAAGTCTTCATATTGTGTTTGAGTTGTATTGTTTTAATATTTAGAGAAAAAAAATAAAATAAAAATAGCATACTAAAGAAAGGGAGAGATGTAATGCTTAATTGCAGTCATCCTGCCCTCTAGAATTTAATAAACACCTCACTTCAGTAACAGTGGTGTGTCCAGGATTTTTTTCTGGGTAGGTAGTGATCATAAATTTTTGGACCTTTTCACAATGAAATAACAGCAAGATAGCCTCATGATGGTCGGAATACATCGTGATAGGTGAAGCAACCTCGACCATGACAGCGTGGTTGACAGATTCCATGCAAAATTTCCAAAATATAGAATTTAACTTTCAAGAATGAGGATTTGAAAATACCCACCCAAGTGAGACTCGATTCGCTCCACTAGCCCCCCCACCCCCCGTTGGGGCCTTTAGCCCCTCCGTCTGGCAGGTCCTGGCGCCATCACTAAATTCAATGACCTATACTACTAGTTCTACAATACTGTAAAATTTACAACTTCTATTACAACAACTGCTGAAGTTAAGATTAAAAGCCTAGACAGTGGCCGCTCTGGGATACATTTTCGGGGGGTGGGGGAGGAGCTAAGCTGTCCAAAGACGAGATTTTTTTAATTAAAAATAGGGAGCTCTGGACGGCCGGAAATGGCACTTAGCAGTGTGAAAGACATAGTTTGTCTTAATGTCGGCATATTTAATTTATTTATTTTTTTGGTCTGACTGCCTAGCGAGCTCGGCCGGGGGCCTTTGACTTGTCCGATGGGGATGCGACTTAAGTCACATTATCCTCCGGCTCCGCCACTGCTAGACAGACTGCTGCGGGTTGCTCGAAGCACTAGTCTAGGACTATGCTTCACCGTCACCTGGCCGTAGCCGCAGCACCAACCTATGCTCAAACTAAGCCTCATCATATCACATGTGCGTATGTGCGATGTTTTTAGGTAGACGGTATAATATATACATGACGTGTTACCATACAAGCCACGTCCCCTCGGCTGAACCCGCTGTAGTTAGCAACTACCATCTCACAATTCTACACTGTATAATAGCGGTAGTTGCTAAATACAACGGGTTCGGCTGAACCCGCTGTAGTTAGCAACTACCATCTCACAATTCTACACTGTATAATAGCGGTAGTTGCTAAATACAACGGGTTCAGCCGAGGGGGCGTCATGCATAACTTCAGCTATGTTTCGTATTAATTTCCTCGACAAAGTGTGGGCCAGCCCGCCCTGTCTGTAATCACACAACATAGCAAAATACACCCCGTACAACTAATTCCTTCATGGTACAACCAATGTAAGACAAAACAAGTTGTCCCTGTGTGTTTTTCTTTCCAAAAATTGGATCCCTGGAATATTATCAATTCACGGGGCCTACAC